AGACGGCAAAAGCTGTGAAAAAGGTTGAAGCCAAGTCAAAAGTAATTCAACAAAGACTGGAGGTAGTGGAGAAAGAGAGGATCTCTAACAAAGACCAGCTTTTAAGACTTCAAATCGAAAAATCAACCTATGCTCTGAGATTTTAAGGTGTTCCTGAACAGAAGGGTGAGAATCTGAAAGAAATCTTAAGTGAAGCATTGGCCCCAATGACAGGTTGAACAGCGGATGTACTACAAAGCGATATGGATATGATCTATTTAACTTATCCAGAATTTATTAAGAAAAAAAACCTGCCTGGGGAAATAATGGTGAGATTCTTAAAGAGATCTACAAGAGACGTGGTGCTCAGGCCACAAATAGGACAACCCTAAAAATCAAAGACAAAGAAATTAGAGTCTTAAAAGACATACCATTTGAAATAAGAAAAAAGAGAAAACAATATAAAAACGAAACTGTTTTTTTGCAGAAAAATTCCACACCATACAGATGGTTAATACCTGAGGGACTTGTTTTCAACTAAAAAAGATAAAAAAGAAAAGATTGACTCTGTCTTTAAAGTGAAGGCGTTTTTGGAACAGCAACAAAGACCAGTGCACAACAAGACAGCAACAGAGGAAAAAGACTTGGGAAAAGAAGGCAGCGCATATGGATCAGAAAGTTCGGAAAGCACGGCGGGCAGTAACCCAGAATAGGACTCCGAATCAGATAAAGGGGTGGCGGCCCCAAAACTCCTGAAGGTCCAATGGAACTTTGATTTTAAAAAAGCTCAGAGAAAAGAAGCCGAAATAGTATAACCCTATAAGCTCGAAAGTTAAATTGTTTAAACTGTAACTACCTGATTTAATCATATCAATACCAGTTTATAAGAAAGCGATAAGAAATAACTCCATTCCACTAATTTTACTATAGAGGGAACTTTGCTTAAGCTAATGACTAATCATTTTGTATGATCCTTGTGTAGATTATGTTTTAGTTTAGAGTTGTAGTGTTTGTAGTGTTGTTAGTTTTTGTAGTAAGAAAATAATTTAATTTTTTTTAAAAAAAAAAAAATTCTCTCAGCCCCACCTACCTTACAAGGTGCCTGTAGTGGGGAGAGGAAGGGAAGGTGATTGTGAGTCACTTTGACTCCCCCATAAGGTTTTCAAGGCAAGAGATGTTCAGAAGCGGTTTGCCATTGCTTGCCTCTGTCATTGCTTGCCTCTGCTGTGACACCACAGCAGATCAACCAATGGCACGGAGAAACAGGACAAGGAGAAAGCTCAGAGATCCAAAGGCAGTGACCGATGAACGAGAAGAAGGTTTCATGATTGTTAGAAATTATCATATTGCTGGCACCCATAGCTAGCTTTCTTTATTACATATTGGAACCGTTCAGTTTCCTGTTAGATTATGAATGCTCAATATGTTGAGAAAGATTTTATTCCCCCCCCCCCCCTTTAAAATGCAAAGCAGAAAAGGCCATAGAAATTATTTGCCAACCGGTTTGGGAAGTATTCACCTTGTTTCCTCTTGCCCCACGTCATCTTAATAGAATCGACGCTAGAACTTACATTAGAGACTGTGCCTCTTTGTAGAAAACATTTCTGTGATTAAACCTTTGTAAACCATATGGTGCAACAGAGGAGAGACATGTATAGAATAGCAATGATAAGTACGGCTGCCCCCTTTTCAAAACTGTTGTGGATTGAAGGTTGCTTTTTTTTAAAAGTATGGCTAGCCGTAAAGAAGCAGAAAGATGATTATGGATGGGGTTTGTTCATATTGTTTTACAAAGGCAGAAGTGTGTATCTAGACAAACAAATCTTAGAACTGCCTTCAGTTTCAAAAATATTTCAGGCAGCCAGAACTTATGGAGACAACAAAAACCAAAACCAAAAAAAACCTTGCAGTAAATCTGATCCTAACAAACAATCAAAAGAAACCTTGACAACTTGTTTGGTAGAAATAGAATGCATGAGGTTCCCCAGCTCATTGGAGCTGCTCTGCAAATTGAAACGGCGGGATCGGGTAGCGCAGATGCTACACTTTCGGTGTAGTTTTTCCTCTGGTTTTCATTCAAAAGATGTAAAACACCATGATTCATTATCACACTGTGGCCCCGATCACACGCAGAATTTGCCACGGGATACTCACAAATGCCGGCCGGATTTTACTGGCGTGATCAAACGGACACATCTGGCCAGCGTCCCGCACCCATCAGCAACCCGCAGCAGTCAGCCAAAGAAGTGGAGTGTAAAAGTACCTGGGGAAAACCCACAGTCAACTGGTTGTGACGGGCTGCAGCCGGACGCTCTCTGTGTGATCGCTCCAGCGCACTCCTCTCGCGTCCCTGCTTCCTGGTTGGAGCGTGCTGGAAACACCCGCCGATGGAAACAATGCCGTGGCATCTGATCGTGTTGGGGCACGTCAAATTGCAGTGGCGCAAATCGCCACGTCTTCCCCCTGCGTTTTCCGGCACGTGTGACCGGGACTTGTGATCAGCATTGCCTGGAGGCCGACAAATGTTTTCAAGGGAGCTGGCAGTTGTTTGAGGGAGATATGGGGTTCGTATGCCACCGTAAGAAAAACACAGGTCCCATACGTCCTCCCGCCCCCAATTCTGTTATGAGTAGGGCTACCTTGAGATTTTTACTACACTATTGGCCTGGTTTATTCATGAGAAATACAACCAGAGAGTTGATTGCTATTTTGCTTTCTGCTGTGTCATTAGTAATTTCATCTAAGTGGAAAGATCCTGCTTCTCCTTCAATTTCTCATTGGCATGACAAAATTTGGGAGCAATTCATAGTGGCTAAGCTGTTGTATTCAATATTACCTGCTGCAGAGAGCCCTCAGTATCAAGCAAAATTTGTAGCTATCTGGTACCCAGTTCTACATTATTTGGTGGATCATAATGTTGTCCCGGTTAATACTTTACATAAGCAGTTAGCTACTTTTTTGAGTATTAAAGGATAGATGTTGATTTTAGAACATATTTTACTTCAAAACGTAAATAGTGTTATGTTACCTATAAAGTGTGGCTGGATTGTTACTCATGTTTTTGTTACGGGGTTTTAGTTTGGTTGGTGGTTTGATCTTGTTGCTTTATGATGTTCTCTGTATATGTTATTGACGGCAATAAAAGATAATTAAAAAAAAGAAATACCTCATGATTTGAGGGAGCAGCTTGGGAGGGTGGGGTTTAGGGAGGGGAGGGACATCGGTAGGGTATAATACCACTTGGTCCACCTTCCAAAGCAGCCATTTGCTCAATTTTCTAATAAATAAATAAGCAATCTATGTAGTCTGGACACCAGCTGTAATTCTGGGAGCTCTCCAGGCACCACCTGGAGCTTGGCAACCCTCATCCTGAAGAAGACAGCTTCCGGCTAGCTGGCTCTCTCCTCCGACTGCTGCAGCAAACCCTGCCCCTTTCTGCCACCTCTCTATGAGGCGAGGGTCTAGGAATGCCCTTTATGCCATCTCAAGCCACCATAGAGAAGTAAAGGTTTCCCTTGCTCGAAAGCCAGTCGAATCCGACTCTAGGGGGCGGTGCTCATCTCCATTTCCAAGCGGAGGAGCTAGCACTCTCCGAAGAGGTTTCCATGGTCTTGTGGCCGGCATGACTAAACGCCGAGGTGCACGGAACGCTGTTACCTTCCCACTGAAGCAGTACCTATTTAACTACTTGCCGTTTCTTGCGTTCGAACAGCTAGATCGGCAGCAGGCAGGGCTCTAGTCGGGGGGGAGCTCTCAGGTACGGAGCTCCGGAAGAGAACCTCTAGGGGGCGGGGCGGTCACGTGGTGAAGCCCCGCCCCCTTCTTTACCCCGCCCTCTGCTTCGATCCTCATTCTGTTTGGGAATGAGGATGAAGCAGGAGGGTAAGTAGCCGGGCCTTCTGACACACTTCCGGTGATGTCAGGGGGTGTGGCCTTCTGTCACTTCCGGTGATGTCAGGGGGTGTGGCATATGCAAATAAGTTATGCTAATGAGTTATGCTAATGAGCTCCGGCAGCTCTTTTTCTACAACAAGACCCCTGGCAGCAGGTTATAAATATTTAAAAGAACACATACTACTTCTCTAGGTATATATGCGCATTTCTGTTGCCCTGCTCAGACAGGTTTTTGAAAGACTACTAAAGCTCTTTACTAGAATGGGATGCTCACCACGAATAGTGATCCCTTTTCCAAAAACCACTCTTCTATCAGAAGAGTTGCCAACTCTGGGTTGGGAAATTCCTGGAGATTTTGGAGGGGGCAGCCCCTCAGGAGGTTGGGGTTTGGTGGGGGAGAGAGAGCTCAGCAGGTTATAATGCCATCAAACCCACCCTCCAAAGCAGCCATTATCTGAGGGGACCTGATCTCTGTCGTCTGGAGATCAGTCGTAATTCCAGAAGATTCCCAAGCGCCAACTGGAGGATGGCAACTGGCTCACCCATAATTTGGCAGGATGATGCAAAATGTTACAGCTGTGGTCATGCACACTAAATAACCCACTTTCAGTCCACTTTCAATGCACTTTTGAATTGGATTTTGCCAGTTCACACAGTGAAAGTGAATTGAAAGCAGATTATTTAGCGTGTGTGACCGCAGCCAGAGGCTGATTCTCCATTGGCTTTTCCCTCCATTGTTTTACGAAACCCACCTTGGAACAGAATATTCCCCTCTGCATTGCATGCCGCCGTCACTTCCTTTGATCATCGGGTTTCATGGTAGCCTCCACACTCCATGCAGCTTTCGAGTTCTTTGATCCTCAGATTTTATTGTACCTTCTGCATAGATTTATGGCTGTTTTATGACCGTTCAGGGGTGACTCTGCAGTCAGTACTGCCTTGCCCCGGGGGTATTTGGATGTGGTTTTGAGCTGCACTTTTTCTTCCCAGTTGAGAAAATGTGGAGCAAATGCTAGATGCAGAATCATCCAGAGAGAGAGAGAGAGAGAGAGAGAGAGAGAGAGAGAGAGAATTCCCATGACTTATTTTCCATTGTTATGTATGTAACTGCTTTTCCCTCCCAACAGTGGCCTTAAATTTCCAAACACCTGGAGTACAAATGGACCTTCAAAATGGGAAATTTTTGGACAACGGTGGTGCCGGTTACATATTAAAACCAGAATTCCTAAGATATGGAGAGACACTGTTTACCCCGTATAGTATAACTGGGAACCACGGTGCCATTTCGCTTACAATAACGGTAAGTTTATTCGTCTGTCGATAACGTGCTCTTGGAGGCAGGCCAGGGCAAACCGACTCTGTTCATCTCGTGCCTTGAAAGCCCCATAGGGCCGCCATAAGTCATCTGTGACTTGATGGCACTTTCTGTGACCGACATTCTCTTGGTTAATTCTTTAAATATTAAGAAATGTTGAAACATTTATTACAGGTGCTTTCTTCACATTCGTAGCCCAGACTCTTGATAAGTATATGATGCGACTTGTACTCGATCAGCCAGGTACCATTTCAGCAGGTTTTCTGTGTCATCAGAAGAGTGTGTTTTGCTATTTTGATGATCTGACATAGCTTTTAACAGGGATGTCAGGCCTACGCACGTACAACATTGTGAGCCCATAGACCAGAATGGGAACTTCGTTATTCGCAGCCAGCAGTGCCTGTTTAGAAGGCTCTTATTGGTGGTTCCTAGGCCGGAGAATTCTGCCCCCCACGTTGCCTTGGGGTTTTCTAAACAGTTTAATTGTTCAGCGCCAGTCTGTCTCCACCCACCAACAACCACGGACTGTGCTTAAAATTCATGAAAATTCGTGATGGCAGAGCCTCCACAGATATCACTTCATGGTTCACATAGTGGCCAAAATTCTTGACGAATTTTGCTCTGTGAGTGAGTTTTCGCCCATGCCTAATGTCATCACTTCCCCCCACAAACTGTCAAGTCATAGCTGATTTATGGTGACCCCTTGCGGTTTTCAAGGCGAGAGATGTTCAGTGGTGGTTTGCCATTGCCTGCCCCTGCATAGCAACCCTGGACTTCCCTGCTGGTCTCCCATCCAAATACTACTCAGGGCCAACCCTGCTTAGCTTCCGAGAGCTGATGAGATTGGGCTAGCCTGGGTCTTCCAGGTCATCACTAGGATACAAATTAGGGTTGTCAATTCCAGGTTGGGAAATTCCTGGGGGCGGAGCCTGGGAGGGATGGAGTTGGGGGGGGGAACCTCAGTGTGGTATAATGTAGGGTTGCCAGCCCCGGGTTGGATAATACCTGGAGATTGGGGGGGTGGAGCCTTAGGAGGGCGGGGTTTGGGGAGGGGAGGGCAGGGGCATGATGCCATAGACTCCACCCTCCTAAGCGGCCATTTTCTCCAAGTAAACTGATCTGTGTGGCCTGGAGATCAGTTGTGATCCCAGGAGATCTCCAGCCACCACCTGGGAGTTGCCAGCCCTAAATATAATGCCAGAAAGTCCACTCTCCAGTACAGCCATTTCCTTCAGGGGAGCTGATCTCTGTAGTCTGGAGATCTGCTTTAATTCTGGGAGATCGATGGGATTTTGTTGTGGGATAGTTCTATGGTAAGGGTCAAATCCCTTCGCTGTTTCTAGAGCCTAGCATGGCGGAGGCAGGGGTGGGGGGCTGTGATATCTTGTACTAGACTCAGGTGGTCACAGAAACCCTGTCAGTTCCTTCCCTGAAACACCTTTGGGCCATTCTGATCTTCTCTGGCTCCCAGCGCAGTGGGTCACTGAGTCTCTGGGGTCCAAACATTTGTAAAGAAGGGAGGTCTTACTGGAACCTCCACTAACTGGAACCTCCATGTTCAGAGACAGTAAACCTCTGAATAGCAGGGCCAAGAGGCAACATCAAGGGAAGGCCTCTGTCTCTATGTCCTGTTTTTGGACCTCCAGAAAATTGGCTGGCTGTTGCGTGAGATAGTATGCCGGCTAGATGGACCCGTGGTCTGATCCAGCAGGGCTCTTCTTCTGTTCTTATCTTCCCATTGTCTGTCCGGTTATTGTTATCTGTAGGTTGCAATCAGTGCTCTCACTCTTCAGTGACAACATACATATTATTTGTGTGCGGAACCCTAGTGAATTAGATCTTTTAGCTCAAGCTGCGACACTCACGATGGAGCTGAAAAATCGCCAGTCAGAACTGAAATAAATCACCCTTGCTTGATTTATTAGCTGCAATATTTTCTTCTACCTTCCTGGGGCCTGTGGTGGGAAGTAAATACCGCGAATATCGCAGTTGCTGAGACTAGCTTGCTGCAAATGCGATTTAGTCATCAAAGGCATTTGACAGGTTATTAAATACCAGCGCTGTAGTTCCTTGTCTAGTTACGCCATAAACACTTTGCCCCGTGTTCAGGCACACATGACAGTGATCTTGCTTTGCCCAGTCAGGTTTATAATAGCAACATTAATTTAAAAATTTGCACTCGGATAATTTTTCCAGCCCTACTTATTGCCAAGATGAACCCGCCAGTCAGCTGTGATCTTTTGATAAGGCCCTGTCTTGTGCGCACTTTCTCCCAGAGGCATGGTAGATGATCGGTCAGACAGGGCCTTTTCTGCAACAGCTCCCTGACTCAAGAACTCTGCCTGCAGAGGTGCTTCTCTGCTGCCTATCTGATTTAGCTTTAGGCATCGGGTAGAGGGGCCAAGTTCCCTGCCATGGCTGTGTACATGGAAGTGATGTCATCACATCCTGTGACACTCTAGGAATCCCCCAAATCTCTGTGGTTGAAACCAAGACTCAAATGTTGTGCAGTGCTGGTTTAAAGAACTGCCAGAGCTTCAATGCATACTAAACATTTCCTTTTTAATAAACACTTTAAACTTTTGATTCTGGAAGTGGTTCTCTGTACCACATAGGGGAGCCCCAGGAGGAGGGAAGGCAAGCAATTGGCAACTGGCCATTCCCCCAGGGGGGTACAAGGCATTAATCCGTCCCCGTGGAAGCCAGGCACCGGGCTAGTGGGAGACACTGAGGCAAGGCCTCTGAGCTGGGAATGGAAGCTGAGGGTCCTGTTCCCCTAAGTGGGAAATCCCTATATTGATCAGGTGGTGGCAGCGGCTACTGAAGAGTAAAAGGAAAAGCCCCTCCAGGGAGCTGGCAACCCCACGGAGGGCAAGGCAGAAATGGGGTCTGCAGGCCAGATGAGGGACGTTCTGCCACAAGGTACAACACCATAGAGTCCACCTTCCAAAGCAACCATTTTCTCCAGGGGAACTGATCTCTTTATTTATTCTTTGCATTTGTATCCCGCCCTCCCCGAAGGCTCAGGGCGGCTGGGGATCAGTTGTAATACCGGGAGATCTCCAGCCACCACCTGGAGGTTGGCAGCCTTATCCCCATGCCCCACCAGAAGCAGCATCTCCAAGGTGCAGAGGGTCTCTAAAGCCTGTGCACCCCGATGCCCAGTTGTGGCACAGCACCCTCTGCAGCCAGGTACACACTGGAAGCGTGTGGTGCCAGGACTTTAGCATTGTCATTGCCCATGACTGCCACTTTGCAGTCTTCGCCCTGCAGTATGGGGAGGGGGGACACACACACACACACTGGGAGACTGCAACGCATCTAGTTCACCTCTGAGTACAAGAAGCTGGGAACAGACGACGGGAGCATCTTTTTAGGTCATCGAATTCTCCTTAGGGAGCCCAATTCTATGCAAGTCATTAGATGTTATTTTGAAATGGATGTTATACAGAGGTAAAAGCAGGGCTATTTTTGGGCAGGAACACACAGGAACAGAGTTCCGGCTGGCTCCCAAGTTGGCCACGCCCAGCAGGAACTCATTAGCATAGTAGGCCACACCCAACAGCATGAACTCATTAGGATTGGCTACATTAGGGGTGTGTGGCCTAACATGTAAAGGAGTCCCTGCTACAAAAAAAGGCCCTGGGTTTGGACAACAAACAAGTTAAACAGAATAAGAAGCAAAAGGTGGGTGTGGCTGGATGACCACACTTCTGGTAACATGGGGGTGCGGCCTAATATTCTAATGAGCTGTGTGCTCAGGGGGTGTGGCCTAATATGCTAATGAGTTTCTGCTGCTGGGTGTGGCCTATTATGCTAATGAGTTCCTGCTGTACTTTTTCTACAAAAAAAGCCCTGGGTAAAAGCCATGGTGTTCAAAAGGCTTCCTCCCAGACAGAGGGTTGTCCTCTTCCGTTTGGGAAATTCCTGGAGATTTGGGGCACAGCCTGGGGAGGGTGGGACCTCAGCATAAACGTTCACCCATCACCCATCATCCTCCAAGGGAACCGATCACTGTCATCTGGGGATCAGTTGTAATTCCAGGTGATCTCTCAGCCCCTCCTGGAGGCTGGCAGGTGTACTAGACAAACTTGCAAAGGACTCCAGCCTGAAAATGTAAGGTGTACAGGCAAGATCGCCTGGATGGGGAAATACCTGGAGATTTGGTGTGGGGGTGGGGGTGTAGTACAACTGCCAGGCAGTACCACCCCAGACCTCGGACACTCAGTTGCCAACCTGGCAGGAGGTTGGGCTGGAGGACTGGCAGGCAGGGCACTCTGACTAATGCTAACACAATCCAGAGTCAAGGTCCTCTTGCTCCTTAACCACGATAGGCTGCCACCAGACCTGCTTCATCCAGAAGGCAAGGCACAGGCCAACCTTGCTCCCTTTAGGACTTTAAGCAGAAATCCAAACTCTCTCCAGAGTCAGGGGTTCCACACGTAACATTGGTAGGGCCAAAAAGGCAACTAGAAAAAGCCTTCTGCAAGCCCCAGACAGAAACACACCACACAGGTATGTAACTAAAAGCTCTATTTTAAGGTGCAAAGAATACCAACACACTGTGCACAGAAAACAAAAAGGGCTTTAATATCTCTAGCTAGTTACCTTGGATAATACAGCACCAGTATCCACAGCAATTCTTGAAGCATAAGTAAAGCAATCTGCTTACAGCAGTTCAGCAGTAATCTCAGTCTTTCCAGCAAATGTTCATGGTTTCCCCAAATGGAAAAACCATAGCACCCGGTAGTATACCCAGCTACAGGTCTAAAGTTTGACAAAGAAGCTAGAGAAAGACTTCATTTTTAACCACTTCTGGGAACACCTGACCAGGGGCACTAATTACCAATTGGGCCTAGCAACCAGGTCCACCTGATCCCAATACCAGTCAGGGAATTTGACATATGTAAATAAGGCATCTGACAGATGTAATTGTAAGCTAAATTGACATTCACCTGCTCAGCCGTTGCAGGGGAACCCCAATCAGCTTCAGCTGTCCAAGACCATTCCGTATGTATTAGTGTGAAAATTCTTTTAATCGCTGTTTTATCTATGTGTGATTAGAATGATTTCCTTTTTATTATCCTAATTCTGTATTGTGATGGCCTTTGGCTATATACACAATAAAATTCTGGTATTCTGGTATTCACCAAAAATATAAGACATTTTGTGGGACAGCTCGAGTTGAAGCTTATGTACCTCTTTGGTTGTGCAGCTCATCAGTGGCCATCAACTACCCCCTAGTAACCTCTCCCGGACCAATAAAGCAGATCCCCTGGTGGTCGTTGAAATTCATGGTGTTCCCGAAGACCAGATGAAACAACAGTCTTGTGTAGTAAAGGGCAACGGTAAGTGCACCAGCCTATTGATTTGTGTAAGGCCTCGATAATTTAGGAACTCAACTCATTAACTTACATAGCTTATCAAAGTTGTTCCTCTGGCAACCAAACATGTATCTTTCGAGCAGCAATGCATGAATCAATAAGAAAAGCAGGAAGGACACATGAGGAATTGGTAATGTTGCACTGCAGAAATCCCATTGCCTGAGCCTTGATTATGTGAAATGCCTGCGCACCAGAATTCACGGTGGGTGTCTCCTCTTCTTCCCTTCCCATCAGTCTGTGTCACACAAATGTGGGTTTTATCCAGCAGCGCTGTTGATGGTTTTGATCTGGAACCGAGTGCACAGGGAGATCGCAGATCCAATGGAACGTATACTTACGTGTTCAATTGCACAGCGTTCTGTTCTGAAAACTCCGAATTCTGCTCTTTGGATAAACTATTACAGAAGTCAGGTGTGTTTTGTAGGCGGGGGGGGGGGAGAGAAGAGGAAGTGTCTTCTTTGTCCATAGGGTTGCCAGCTTCCAGGTGGTTGCTGGAGATCTCCTGGGACAGAGATCAGTTCCCCTGGAGAAAATGGCCACTTTGGAAGGTGGGTTCTATGGTACTATACCCCATCGAAGCCCCTCCTCTCCCCAAACTCCTCCCTCCTCAGGCTCCGCCTCCAAAACCTCCAGACATTTTCCAAGTCAGAGCTGGCAACTCTATTTGGTTAAAAGAACACAACATTTGGAGCTGGAAGTGATCTGATTTGATGGTATTGCCGCTTATTTTTTTTAGTCTGTGCTACAAAAAAAAGAAAACAGGGACTGGCAGAAAAATAGAGGCGCTGGAGTTAGTACCAGAGTTCCCATCAAGACGGGGTGAGCTCCCGTCTCTAGTTCCAGCTCCTGCCAACCTAGCAGTTTGAAAGCAAGAAATTGCAAGTAGATAAATAGGGACCACTTCGGTGGGAAGGTAACAGCGTTCCGTGCGCCTTGGTGTTTAGTCACGCCGGCCACATGACCACGGAAACGTCTTCGGACAGCGCTGGCTCTTCGGCTTTGAAACGGAGATGAGCACCGCAACCCTAGAGTCGGATTCGACTGGCTTTCGAGCAAGGGAACCTTTACCTTTACCTTTTTTCCCATCCTTCAGGGTTGTTGGTTTTTGTCCTTGGTTGCCAATGTGGCTGGGAAAAACAATATTTATTTATTTATTTATTTATTTATTTATTTATTTATTTCCATTTTTATCCCGCCCTCCCCGCACGCAGGCTCAGGGCGGCTTACAGGGCACAAAGTGCTATAAAACAGATACATTAAAACCACAGAAGTTAAAACAGTTCACAACTCACAAGATACATGGATTACCCTGACAGTCCTGCTTCCGCATACATGCGGTGGTGGTAGTGGCGGCGGCAGCCCCTACTCAAAAACCTGGCGGAAGAGCTCCGTCTTACAGGCTCTGCGGAACTGTAAAAGGTCCCGCAGAGCCCTGATCTCCTCTGGGAGCTCATTCCACCAGATAGGGGCCGCCACTGAAAAGGACCTGGCCCTCGTGGTAGCTAGCCTGGCCTCTTTAGGGCCTGGGGTCACTAAACAGTGCTGTGACCCCGACCGAAGTGCTCTTTGGGGCCTGTATGGGGAAAGGCGGTCCCTCAGGTATGTCGGACCCTGGCCATGTAGGGCTTTAAAGGTAAGCACCAGCACTTTGAAACGAATCCGGTATGCTATAGGCAGCCAGTGCAGCGCCTTCAGCACAGGATGGATGTGTTCCCATTTAGGGGCACCCACCAACAACCTGGCCGCTGCATTCTGCACCAGCTGCAGCCTCCGAATTTGAGACAAAGGCAGCCCCATGTAGAGAGCGTTACAGTAGTCTAGCCTTGAGGTGACCGTCGCATGGATCATTGTGGCCAGATCGTCGCGGCTGAGAAAGGGGACCAACTGCCGCACCAGCCGAAGATGATAAAAGGCAGCTCTAGCAGTGGCCGCTACCTGTCCCTTGAACCAGAGGCTTAATGTGCAGAAGCGGGCCGCTGAAGCTTTTCTTGGCATGGTGGTAAATAAATATTGCCTGGTAAATAGCATCCCATTAAGCCTCTATTAAGACAGTTTTTCCCCTTCAGACAACTGGCAACCCTAATTTTTTTCTCGTGATGTGAATGAACATACATTATTTGAGCCGCTATGGAAATATGCTGACTGCATTCTGAACAATTTTCTTCCTCGGGATCGGTCTCAGTGAGAATCGGTCCTTCAGCTCTATCTCAAAAGCCATCCGGCTAGCTATCCCCTGGACTCTTTCCTCCACCCACCCCCCTGGATGGTTTTTGTAACTTGTTTTCAGTTGATTTTCCTTTAAGGCTGAAGTCGAGATCAACCAGGTCATTTTGAGGGACTCGCCTCATTGTAGTCGACTGCTTGAGACAGCGTCCGGTTGGGCAAATTTAAGAGAGGAGGCGTAGCAGGGTACCCCCTCCAGTCCTAAAAGGAAGCACTCCTTGGAATGTATTAGTGTGATGTCTTCCCCTCAAGCAAGAGAATAAATCAAGCAAGCAAGCAAATAAATAAATAAATAAATAAAGTAAATAAATAATGCCAATAGCACCTTAGAGACCAAAACGATTTTCAGAGTATAAGCTTTCGAGAGTCAAAACTCCCTTTGTCAGAGACAAGTATTTATTGATTTAATTAAGTTGGCTTCTAACCTCCCCTCCCCCGCTAGCAGGGTCAGGGTGGGTTACAACAATATACACACACGACATAATACCAACCAATTAAAACATCATAAACAATTTAAAATCCAGTATCTCAATTTACACCACATAGATAGTCCACTAGGGGGCAGCGGTGACTGAGAGGTTAAGACGCTGAGCTGCAGAGGTCGGTAGCTCAGCAGTTCGAGACCCTAGAGCCGCATGACGGAGTGAGCTCCCATCTCTGGCCTCAGCTCCTGCCAACCTAGCAGTTCGAAAGCAAGAAATTCCCACTTTGGTGGGAAGGTAACAGCATTTTGTGTGCTTTGGTGTTTAGTCATGCCGGCCACATGACCACGGAAACGTCTTCGGACAGCGCTGGCTCTTCGGCTTGGAAATGGAGATGAGCACCGCCCCCTAGAGTCGGATTCTACTGGCTTTCGAGCAAGGGAAACCTTTACCTTTAATAGTCCACTATCGATGGTACCAATAATACATCTACTCTTGGGCTCCCCGTGTGTGTACAGGTAGATGTCACTAAAGCTGAAAGGGGGCGGGGCAGATGAGATCAGTGCCAGATGGAGACAATATGGATGGAGTAAAGCAGAGCAGACCTCAAAGGGCTTTAAAGGTTAAAACCAAAACCTTGACTGGAGTTTTGACTCTCAGAAGCTTACGCCCCCAAAATCTAAGGGGCCAAGGTCTCTAAATCAGAGGAAGGCAATGGCAAATGACCTCTGTTCATCTCTTGACTTGGAAGCAGGATAGCCATAAGTTGGCAGCAACTTGAGGGCACTTCCCACCACCAAGGGCCCTAAGGCGCTACTGTTCTTGAATCTAGCTTATCTACTACAGAACACACATATTCTGCCGAAACAAAATAAATAGAGCAGTTATTACATTCTCATGCCCATTTGCAATCAGGCTTACTCAAGAGGAAGCATGGAAATACAATGTTCTGAAGCCCATCAAGTATTGTGTTGTAAATTTATTCAAGAGGAGACGAGTCTGTGATAAGAAAAGTAAATTTACCCAAGAGGAAGGAGAATTACTCATCACCTTGAGCGAACGGGAGGACAAATTCAGAAACGTAGTCCTGCTTTAATGAGGCAATAGTCTTGGGGGGGACCCCAAAAGGTGATGTTCAAATCAGGACCATATCCAGGATGAAGTCCAGAGCAGACCAGTTCAGGAATTTGTCATATAAAAACGAGCTGGTGTGGACAGGCCCTAAGACCACAAGCGATCCCAGGAGATGTGATAAGAACATAAGAGAAGCCATGTCAGATCAGGCCAGTGGCCCATCCAGTCCAACACTCTGTGTCACACAGTGGCCAAAACCCAGGTTCCATCAGGAGGTCCACCAGCAGGGCCAGAACTCCAGAAGCCCTCCCACTGTTGCCCCCCAAAAACCAAGAATACAGATCATCAGTGTTCCATCTATATGCTGAGGCTAATAGCCACTGATGGACCTCTGCTCCATACATTTATCCAATCCCCTCTTGAAGCTGTCTGTGCTTGTAGCCACCACCACTTCCTGCGGGAGTGAATGCCACTTGTATTAATTACTCTTTGGGTGAAGAAGCGGTGCATACCCTGGTTGTGTCGAGATTAGATTACTACAGTGTGCTCTATGTGGGGCTGCCCTGGTTACATCTAGATTAGATTACTGCAGCGATGTTCGGCCAAAGCATCACCGGCCGAAGGGCTTTGCAGTGCAGATGGCCCTTTAAATCCACCAGCCTATGAAGATGAGTAAGCCCCTGTGTGGGAGGAGCATCATGGCCAAAGCCCTAATTCACAAGGAATTAAGTCAATGAGAGCTTTTTAAAGGTTGCCAGCCTCCAGGTGGTATCTGGAGTTCTCCCGCTATTAGAATTGATCTGCAGGTGACCGAGATCAGTTCCCCAGAGAAAATGGCCTGCTTTGGAGGGTGGACTCTATTGGCATTAACACATGGCTAAGGTCCTTCCCCTCCCCACCCTCCCCAGACTCCGCCCCCCAAATCTCCAGGCACTTCCCAACCCAGAGCTGACAACCCTAGCTTTCTTTTACCTAGCTTTTCCCACACATCTGCATTAACACTTCAGTCCTGCACTCTAACAGTCAGTGTATGAGTCACAGGGTTGCTGGGCTGAGCCCGGCAACCGGCAGGAGGGCTGGGGGCGGAGACACAGGTTGCGTCCTATGTCACCCAGGTTGCTACCTCAATTCTAGGCAAAGCCCAGAAGTGACAAAGGGCAGCCCTAGGAGTTGCTGGAAACTCTATGGCAAAACCATAGAGTCTCTGGCAATTCCTAGACCTACCCTATGTCACTTCTGGGTTTTACCTGGAAGGGACGTAGCAACGGCAATGACATTACTCTTTTAAAAAGTATTTTTCTTCCACTGTTTCTCTGAGTGGCAGCGGGCCAACAGGGCTTGCCAGCGGGAGGCCTGACAATCTGAAGGAGTCATCCTATAGTGGGCAGAGACAAGTGTATTCAGTGGGTGGTTTTACGTTCACAGGCCAGTGAAGGAAGCCCAGTTAATTGTCATGCCAAAGCTCTTTGACGAGATCCTTGCCTGTTTCATGTTGCTCTCTTTATTTTCAGCTTTGTGTCCCAGGTGGAATCAAACGCTCAGTTTCCACGTCCGAGTTCCAGAGCTTGCGTTAGTACGCTTCGTCGTAGAAGATCAGCTGTCCCTCACTTCCAATGACTTCCTCGGCCAATATACTTTGCCACTTTTAAGCATGAACAAAGGTACTCATTAGCTATCGTCGAGCGCAACAAAGCCCTTCCATACCTTTATTGACAAATTGTTCTCCTCGCTATTATTATATGCAACAGGACTAGAATTACTGGCAATCGACGTATAGTGACCTATCACTGCTGACAGCAAAATTGTTCAAGGAAATGCCCTGGTATTAATCCCTCCCCCGTCATGTTATTTGCCTGGGGTTAATTTGTGATGCTGTACAGTTGAATGCGGTATTTACGGGCCCCGTTCGGTTTTGCTGGCTGTGCATTAGGCAAGCAATCTTCTATAGGGTTATTCCAGGCTAAACCCATTGATTTCAGTGGGTTTAGTCTGGTAACACTGCATAGGAGTGCACTGTTGGTGAAGTCCCCACCGCACCAATAGGTGTGAGCTGCACGCTCTCCCCTTTATATAGGTCGACATGTTTATTTTAAAGAGCTGGTTAGGCTTTCATCTCATTGAAGAATTTGTTAATTTAGGCCGAAGTAAATTTGTCAAAACAGAAATTAGATTGTAACCTTCTCCTTTCTTGGGGGCGGGGGGCACAGCAATTTTTTTTTTAAAATCAGAAAACTTAACTCAGATGCTCCATAAGTGGGATTTAACTGTACAGCCAAACGAGACTTTTAGCTTTAACAATATGCAGCACTTAAGTTGTTCCAAACAGATATAAGAGACAGAGAGTATAATTTCGTAGAACTGAAGACTACGAAGGAACAAAGTTTGAGTCCAGGGGCACCTTTAAGACCAACAAAGTTTTATTCAAGGTATGAACTTTTGGGTGCAGGCACACTTCCTCAGACACAGTGAAATGGAACTTACCAGTCCATACGTATAAGGCACAGGTTGAACAGCAAATTAGCATACAATATAATGAATTAGCAACTAAAATAATGAAATGTTTCAACTGATGCAAACAGGAATAAGGCTAAGTTTATAAGGTCATCATTGTTTGGATTTAATTCTGGAGGAAAACAGTGAGGCGAACAAATATGTCAAAACTGGCAGACAGATGTGCAAATGTATCCTTCTTAATTGTGGAGTGCTAAGAGCAACCAACCAAGACCCTGCCATCACGCACCTGGATCTATCAAGACTACCGCATCATCGCAAACTCCATAGGGAGCCCTCAGTGCGGAGGTGCGATTCATCGATCCCTTGTCTAAGCGCATGGGAAAAAATGGCACACACAGAAAAATCCCTGACCCACCCGCAGTTGCATCTGATCACACACTGATGGACTGCACCCACAGCTTCAAAGGGCAGTGTGATTGTGCAACTGCGGGTCAAATTCCTCCGGAGGAAATAGCCTCGCTCCCCCCCCCCCCGTTTTTCCTGGCATGTGTGACAGCAACCTATGTTACTTGCAAAAGTAACTGAAGTAATGGAAGGACTGCCCCTAGAAGAAAGGACCCCTAATGGGGCACAGAGTGTTTCGGTGCTTAAAGTCTTTGCTCCCATCTGCCCCTGGAGATTCTTTCACTGGAATCCAGACCGCAAGAAGCAGCAACAGGGAATTTGTCCCAACATGATTTCGGAGCAAAGTGCACCGATGCACCTGGTCCCATAGGAGTGAATCACAGCCATTCTCCAGCACAGGAGAAAGTAAAGGCGCATACTCAGAGATGGGGTTTAACCTGCTTCTGATTTCTTCCTTTCCTCGGGGAACAGGGTTTTTTCTACGCCCGCAACAGTATTCTCGCTTACAGCCTGCTTGGTGAGGTTATTGAGCTGTTTGGTAGCTACAGATTCATGTTCATGTATACGGAAACGTTGGTTTTTAAAAGTCACGTACTAATTCTCCACTGTTGCATTATTTCTAGGGTACCGCCATATCCCGCTTCTTTCCAAACTGGGCGTCAGCTTGAGCCCCGCTTCGCTTTTTGTGCATGTTTGGTACTCTCAATAATAATGTTTGTTAACAGTGTGTGTGTATGTGTGTCCCCGCACCCCAGCTGGCTATTTCCTCAATAAAACAACCATGACTTAACAGCATCACCTCTTCTTTCAACTGTTTGACTTGTGTCATGGAATCAGGGCTGCAGTCCTCTGCTAAACCTCTGGTGTACGTCTGCAGCTTTCATTTCTATAGCAATTAGCCTCTCTAGTTGAATCTGTAGTTCTGTTTCCCAGGAGGCTTTAGGACTCTGCTATGTGCTTTGGCCTTCTGGTACCGATAGCCCTGTATGTGACTTTGCCTCACACGACTTTTGCATTCTGGGAATGTTTATACTTTACAGAAGTCCGGAGTCTTTATCAAATTCTAAATAGATACGGTATCTAAAGCTAGCTTCCTGGGACTCTCTTATTTAGCCTCGGTTCTCTGAGTCAACCTAGCTTCACCCAGCTTCCCTTGACCTTCCTGACCCCAGAGATAGAAAGAATGGGCTGAGCTTTGTTGTGTACATCAGAGTTATGTCAAATGCTCATCACAGACTTGACTGACAGTTACATTCACTTCTGTGGGCGGAAAAGGGTCCTTAAAGTCTGGATTTAGTTTTGTTCCTTGTTCTGGCTGTTTACGCCAAATGCTCTTTTTTTACTGCAGATGGCTAACTATAATTTTAACGTGAGTTCTGGCCAGCGTTTATGGAGGTCTTGTTTGAACTTAGGAGTCCAGTAAGGGAGACACACAGGTGTTTTTCTTAAACAAATAATGTTTTACTGAAGGATTTCAATATCAAGCATATAAAAACATCAGTCTCACTTCACAAGCATACAAGTTTCCTTTAGAGTTATAGACAGAGTGCAAAATAGTTTCTTAGTTACTTGGATGGAGGAAGGTAGCTAGTTCGATTCATACTCACCTGTTCTGGAAATCTTGTCTGTTGCAATGGTCATTGGAAGGGAAGGGAAAGGTCCCTGGGGTTAATTGCTCATCCACAATGCTTAGAATGAGCTAGCTATTGTGGGTGAATGTCTCTGGCTGCGCAGCCCAGAGAGACTCAAACAAAGAGCTTCAACTCAAGGAAAGATGGGGGGGGGAGTAGAATGTGGCCAGCCAGCAGCCCTGAACTGAAAGCGTGCTGAACGTTTTATAGTGAAATCTCCAGGTGGGTGGCATCTTGCCAGCTCATAGTCCCACCTTTCTACAGATCCATCCCATAAACTACCCTGATTGGCTCCTGTGGAAAGGGGCAGGTATACCTATGGGAGGGGCAATATTTGAAATTCTATCATCTATCTCATGGAATGGCATTTGGCTAGGTGTTAAGTCTTATCTTCCTGTTGCTCCTTTGAAGTACAGATGAAGCTGGCTCTTCCCAGGCACACAGGATGCTGTAAACAGGATGCCGTTATACAAATGCAGATTCAGTCCATGCCTCTGTGACATCTCGTATCTCCAGTAATGGGGGATTTCTTCTCAGAGTTGTTGTTTCTGATCACAATGGCAAACCATGTGCTTTTTGCTCCCACAATGCTTTGCTAGCTGAATGTGTGCATGCTTCATTAGCATAGAACGCAGGCAAGTCTT